ATAGGCCTTTTGCATGAAACGGTCACATGGTACAAAATCCGCCATACTGGATTGCAAAATACCCACTGGGATGTACAAAACAAAGAAAAGTCAAGCTTGACAGGCTGTGTTCCTTTTGTTTTTGACGTTGTTTACATTCTTTTGCCATCCAGTATGGCGGATTTTGTACCATGTGACCGTTTCATGCAAAAGGCCTATCCTGTTACACTTTAGCGACGGCATTTTTTGTTGGCTGTGGGTAGAGGATATAAATACACCAGATTTCTCCTAGAATACCCATCGCTTTCATGTCTGAATAATTGATTTCCGGTGGAAGCTTATTGGGATTCCTGTGTGTTTGTGATGGGTATTTGAAAGGCGTGCGTAACATATTTGGTCATTATGAAAAAGCTGTAAAACTTAGTCCAGTGATGGACCAAGTCCACCTGTGTTGTATAGATGTGTTAATTGGATCATTAAACGTCTAATTGCCAATTAATAAGATTAACATCACATAAATCCAAGCAAAACAACACCTTAGACTATTATCACATTAGCATAGCGTTTATCAAAACTAATATTGTTCTTGTAAGTGACGTTAATTTGTTTAAGTAGGTATGTCCTTGAGTTGATTATTGTTAATAGAAAAGTCGGTCAAGTTTTGCATGTCTATCCACACCTCTTCCGTCCAACATACCATCAGTTCCTATTACACAACACTTTGCCTTTTAAATTATTCCGAACTATTCAAATGAGAATATTTGATTCATCTTCTGAACGTTTGAACACTCACGTTTGATCATCTTCGAACGTTTGATCACCTAATCGAGTATTTGATCGCTGAGAGCAATCAGTTGAACAAACAAGTGATTTATCTACAATGCTGACATTACTTTTCGCAGTAAGTGTTTATATTAAGTAACACCTATGTACTGGCGTCCCATTGTTTTAGTATCATGTCTGTCACTACATAGTATTGAAGAGTCTGTGATAATATTTTGTCCATTTAGGCCTAGTAGTGATGTAGTGTTCATTATTTTTATCAGCTTATATAATATATACTTGACCTCATATCTATTGGCATGAATCACATCAATTGTTTTAAAGTCTTATTTCAGATCATGATTTTATGCCTAAAAAGCATTTTATTTCAACACACGTGAAATTTCAAACACTTTATCTTTTAGTTCGATACATTTATGTTGTTGAGAATATATTGACCCGTATTGACGGCCAGCCTCTTCTTCGTTCTGTCTGTATATCCTGAGTTATTTTAGATGATAAGAATGTCATAGTACTTCAAGCTCCTTTAGGTCGTCTATTTACTGACATACTCACGCTGTGAATATATCTGTGTACTTTGGTCTTTTTCTTGCTGCGTTTCTTTATGTTTCTGTTTGAACTTCAAATATTTTAAGCATGCCCCCCAATTTCTTTATATTTTTCACAGGCAACAAATGTTTTCGTGCTTACATGGTCACTATTCCAAATGCATTTCAAAATATATTAAAAATACAATAAAGAACTGGGGAAGTGTATTTTGCGGATTATTCGCTTCTCGCATCTTTGTATGTGGTATGGAAATAAGGCCCAGAAGTAGCAAGCATGGGTTGCCTGTGTTCAGTAGTGTATTACCAATATTCATTTAAGTTGCATGTTTTATGTTGCATGTTAAGTTCTGTCCCGTTGCTTTGCAGGATCACGTGACCAGTGTGTCGCATCGCTACCGCTACTAATCTAAACCATGGAGTAACTGTAAACAACTAAATAACTAATAAACTTTGTTAAAAAAGAGTTGTACGATACAAAAAAGAATGCGAAAATTAACGAATTTAGGGTATATGAATTGATTAAGAACACAGAGTTATCTAATAAAGGGGTGGAAGTGTTCGATATTGTTGCCCATCTGTTTTATTGTCAGTTTATGTATATATATATTCATTAGGGGTGTATTTATTATTGGTATTTAAATTTTTAGAGAAATACAGTTTTAAATCAGATTTAACCTAAAATCTCTCCTAAGAACATTAAAATATTTTATGAAATCTTTATAATAATCGTTAATAGTTGGTACAAAATAATAAAAATGCATTGGCTAAAGTGAAATGATTAAAGAGATACTATCACTATCACATATTATTAAAACAGGTTTCTATATGTAAATATTTATGTACAAATCTAGCTTTAATTGGTACTCGAAATAAAAATATTTTAAAGAAATGTTATGATATGTTCGTTGATTTGCTAAATGACAATTCTATAAACTACTTCTCTATATCAGTTGATTCACTGTTTTCCATGCTTCACGGCTTCTCCAAGCATTGAATCAAGGCGTTAAAATACGCCGAAAGAAAGTCGCTTCTTTTATGGTTAGCGTACTTTGACACCTCAGTTAAAATTAGAACGATTTCACATAAGTTTTTTTTACGTGCAAATACGTTTTCGCATGAATAAACAGATGGCGATGGTTAAACATTTCAAGCTTAATTTAGTTTTAACAAAATCAGTATTTTACAATGATTGCTTTAAATTCTCTTGAAAAGTATAAACTCGCCTTTATGCCAAAAGTAATTATAGATTTAACCACTAATTTGCATGTTAAATACTCGAAAAACCATTTGCATGTTAAAAAAATATTCCTGTGCTAGCTGAAATGAATGAATTTTCTGTTTCTAAAGTGAATGTAAGCTCACCTCGTAATACTTGATCTTCTTTTCGTTATTCAGAGATAAATCCTTTTCTAATCTTAACCCAAAATGCTTTATATAGATAGAGTGTCCTTCGACTTTCAGAGAACAGCAATCTAACAATGGTTATAGTCATCAAACCTACTGCTTTCTTTACTTTACTGTCGACTAGATAGCCGATGGTCGTTTCCTTCTCACAGTCGAAGGAAAATCACTCAGAGTGAAGTTTTTAAAACCATAAAACGACATGATTATACGCAGTAAAGTATCATGAGAACAGGCACTACTACATTGATTTGCCAGTTATGTGACTGTTGTTAATTCCAAGGCGGGATTACCGGTATTCATAGAAAACATTACAATAATGAATTAATGCACACATACAATCGAGGCTAGAACCGTACTCGCAATATAAACCTAATGAACTTTTTGTAACCAAGCTTAACGATTAACAACGACTCTAAGTTACCAAGCAATACTTTACACTGTTTCTACAGTATTATAATAGTATTATAATAGTTTAGATTCTTTCCTTTTGCAATCGTCTTAGACTTTGACAGGATCTTCAGAAGTAAAAGATGAAGACGATATCGTGGACCTACTTTCAGCCATCTCATCAACTACCGAATCTACGCCAACATCCAGGTCACCTACAAAGCCTAAACTAAACAAAAGGGACACCGATTCTGTTCTTTCGTCCCTTCTCAATTCCATTGGTTCTCCTGCATTTTCATCAAATACAAACAGTCTAAATGAAACTGATACTAATGAAAGTGATTCGGACGTTGGTTCGCCATTGGTTGATACAGGTTCTCCCATACCTGCTTTAGATAATAGAACTAGTAAAAGCATAAAAAGCGATACTCTTCAAAGGTTCAGCTCGGGTTCATTAGAAGGTAGAGGATTATCTGACAGCTCGACCGATAGAATCAAGACCGACTCTGAAGAAAGTTCCGACTCGGATTATGACGATGTTGACGTGTTTGACATGCTTCATGATAACAGTGAGAGGACTAAACAGGAGGATTCTTCTATTGGTAACTATATTGACCTTCCTCCCCCTTTGCCCACCACGCCCATTCCATCAGACGACGAGGAGCTACCGCCACTTCCGCCTAGAAAGGAATCACTGAATAGGTCGTCTGACGATGGGTGGTCTTCTGAATCTGATTTGTCATATCAACCTAAAGTGAATGGATTTGTTTCTTTGCACAGCAGGTAAGTATCTTATGGTGGAAAGTTGGACAGAAACTTTGACAATAATTTCAACCGCTCAATGCACTTCTTTCAAATAATGTTATCAGCATCTAAAGAGCATTACGCAGGGTAGTGTAATCTCTGGGCCGGGTTCTTCAAAGCCCGATTATGGCTAATCCTGGGTTAACTCTAAATACCTTACGGACTTAACCCTAGACTACTGGTAATCGGTCTTTAAGCAACCCGGCCTGAAACACAACTTGAGCGAGGTTGGCTTGGGGGAGACAAGAAATATAGAAATTATAGGGCTAATTGACAATCTTTTTGTCTTTCTGTCATGTGAGCGCTATTCGTACGTGATTGTATGTGACATATTAGTGGTACTTGTGATGATTAGAGTGATTTTCATAAATCTGTGAAATACACATAAGCGCCTTTGTTTTTTTCGTTGTATTTTTGATATTCCAATTTTTTATGTACATTTTGGCTGTTACACTTAGTTGTGCAGGATTTAAAAATCACAAAAATGTAAACAAACTAAGTTCTAGCACCCAGCAAGGTTTTTATCTTTTTAGATTTATAACTCCCGTCATTTCTTTTGCAGTAGTAGCGAGGGAGAGATGATAGCCAATCCCAATAAACCTTTAGTTGACGTCATATCCGGTGGAAGGTACACGGGTCATAAGCTAAAAATGCTGATTGGTGCATTACAGACAAAACTAAACTCCAATGGCCCTTCAGACGAATTCAAGGTATGTTTTAGATTCATTTGATATTAAAATATGTTGTTAATGATGATGCTATTCGTGACAGCATCTTATGAAAATCTTTGTGCTTCGACGATGATTACAAGACCGAAAGGATAGTATTAAGAGTTAGCAAGGTCTTAGGAGGGGGTATAAATCCCATGCCCCCACCAGGTGGATCCGCCACATGGAAAAGTGATTAAATGATCTTGTTAATTGTAAAAGGCAGATATATGCTTCCTTTGTGGCATATTTAGAGGTAGTTGATAAATGTATAAATTTCCTTACTAAATTCCCATTTTTGGTTGTTCTTTAGGCGTTAAGAGAAATCAAGCCTACTGATAACTGTGATGCTGCTAAACATCCCGACAACAAGGAGAAAAACAGATACCGCAACGTCTTACCATGTACGTATCTATACAGCTGTATGCCTTATTTCAGTTACCGTTGTTAGTCAATCAAAAGCGGTTAGAAATTAGTTGGAAGAAACATCTATTTTTAATAAGGTCTGTGAGATCGAGTACCGAACGGTAATGTGGGTATTATAAATGGTTTTCCACAAGGGATTTCCATGCAGTAGTTGTAATTCACCATACGTTACTTGCAGTCAATTCAACGAGAGTTCGGCTAAGTGGGGATGATAGTGAAGACTATATTAACGCCAGTCATATACGAGTACCAGTAGGACAAGACACCTATCACTACATAGCGACACAGGTAAACCATTATATTACTATGATGTACATTGGAGTAACGCCCGATTAACGTCAAGGGATAATTAAAGTTGTGAAATATATACAACTACTTGCAGAAACGTTGTCATAGAAAATAGGACATTTGTATTTAGTAAAAAGGAATAAATTAAAACAAGACAAAAGAAGATCGCTGAGGCTGAACGCTCTCTTTTGTCTTGTTTTAATTTATTCCTTTTTACTAAATTTAAATGTTCTATTTTCTATGACAACGTTTCTGAAAATAGGTGTATGTATTAAGCTGCTAAGGTCCCTTTTGTTCTCGGCTCTCTACGCTACAGGGTACTGCTGACGCGGGCGTGTTCTTTAGGGCCTATTTGCCTTGACAACACTCATATGGTTGTGTAAAAGTATAAATTTAACACCGTAAAAAAGTGGGTGAAAGAACTTACTGACGTTTCGGACGTWACGAATTTTCCGAAACGTCAGTAAGTAGTTTCAGCTATTTTTTACGGTGTTAAATTTATTTTTTTACTCAACTGTTTCTTTAGAAACGCCGACGCAGCTCACACTAGTTTACCGCTAGTTCCCACCATAGTTAATAGAGAGGACTAGTCCTCTCTATTAACTATGTTCCCACCAAATGTATATATGGCTATTTTTTGTAAATATTTTCTAATTTATTATTATAATTCTTCTTTCGATGTTATTGTGTTTCCAGGGACCATTACCAAATACCATTAAAGACTTTTGGCAGATGGTTTGGGAACAGGGCGTTGAAGTTATTGCTATGGTAACATTAGAAAAAGAGGGAGGAAAGGTATCTTCATATGTTACAACTGTAAGAATGTTTTGTCCAATTTGTACTGCAATTTAAGAGTCCCATTGACTTATTGCTACTTGTTTATACCGGGTTTAGTTGTATTTAATGGCCCAATATCCAAGACTGAATGAAATAATGTTTATGTACTTTTGTTCAACAGATAAAATGTAGCAAGTACTGGCCTACCACACCAGATGTTCCGCTCAATTTACCAAAGTAATTCAGACCATCTTAAATTATGTGTGTTTGCCGTATGTGTCTAAATGTGGCTTCGCGTTGGGATAATATCACAATTATAAAAAAAGATTGAAAAGACTGCTCACTAAATACAATATTTTTTACATTTCAACTAACAGTCATCCCGTATACAGATTTCAGGTTTCCCTCGTGGAGGAAAAGACATCGCAGTCTTTCATAGAAAGAACCTTATCGTTAAAACACCGTCAGGTCAGTTGGATTCCTCATTATAGCAATGCGCTTTTCTAATCTTCACAGCTAGCATCCATTTTTAGGCAAAGTCACCGGGACGGCTGTGGACACAGCGATTTTGATATGACTTGTTATTAGCCAGCTTTTACAGTCTCCGATCCTTTTCGTACTCAATTAACAACTTAATATATAGTATATAGCTGTTTCAAAAAAGGTTGTCGGAAAAATGGCGAATGTCAATGGTCGAACGGCGATTGCACGACCAAAAGTAGCCATTGGTTTTGTTAGTTTAATGGCAATAACAACTGATTTGTACTGTAGATGATCTGTGGTAAACAATGGCTCCATTTAGTCTCCATTTCTATGTAAGGTGAATCCAATAAGTGAAATATTGTTTATCAAAACAGTGTAACCATAGTCCCTTTCGGTCGTACAATCTCCCTTCGACAATCGCCGTTCGCCGTTCTCCCCGACAACGTTTTTTGAAATAGCTGTAAAACGAATTGTTTCAGACTGGTGAGAGCATTGAAGTAACACACCTCAATTTCACCACTTGGCCTGACCACGGAGTACCTAAGGTAAAGTGTTTTCTGTTAAGTTGTTACAGTTTATAGGGACAATCATTCGACATTTCTTTCTTCATAAAAAGCTCTAATCACTCTATTATCCATTTCATGTGTTTCATGCTTTGTTGTTTTAGTGCTCAGTTGAAATGGTTCAATTTGTGACTTATATGAGGAATCTGACGTCATCACAGGCACCTATCCTGGTACACTGCAGGTTTGTCAGAATCATAATATATTTGAAAAGTAATCCATAATATTTTTCATCGAATGCCCTCTACTTTTACTATATGGCGCAAAATTGTATGTAGTTATCAGATAGGTATCAAATATGGCCAGTTCTTACCTAAGAAATCACTTACCATGAACAGCCGATCCTATTGTTTCTAAACCCACCACGTTTACCTTGCCTGTCCATGATCCGACCGCTCCATCCATAATTGCTAACAGACGATACATCCAGTCTGTTAGTTGTCGACTTAGGACTTCTTAGGTCGTCCTTGCGATTTCTTTCTTTCTATCTCCAATATGTACAAATCATCCTCGGGAACCCAGGGGTAATGTCCTGTACAAATAAGACCAGTTACGCAACTCACTGTTTCCACAGTATGGGTTTCTTTCTCGCTGGGCTTTAGCGTACTATTATTCTGTTTTAATTCTTTTGAATTGTATTTTTCAGTGCTGGTATTGGACGGACTGGTGCGCTGATAACTGTTGATGTCTCACTTGGTTTAATAAAAAGAGATCAAATGGTATGAATTGTCTAAATAGTGGAAAATAATATATAAACTCTATGATAGGCCGAATAATGTTTAAACCACGACAATCCACCCTTTATTTACTAGTATTTGCAGTGCAATAGTCAATAAGCGGTAAACGAAACCTAAGATAATTTTAATTGATTTTAACTTGCTACTATCTTGAATGATATTGATGGGATAAACCTCGAGCTCCCCCTCCCCTATCCCCTTAAAGCCGCTGGAAAGGTATAAATTGATGATTTTAATACCAATAAGCTAAAATGCTGTAGTCTGTCGAAGAAGAAACACAAGACTGCCGTGCTTAGTCGAAAAGAAAAAATCAATGACTTCTTTCCTACTTATATTTCAGTTTGATGTCGATAAGATCATTCGTATTCTTCGTGAACAACGACAAGGCATGATACAAACCAAGGTATAGATTATGTATCCACATGTCAGTCATTAGATAACTATTCTTTAGAATGAGTGTTTTCAGACTTCGTCGAACTTCTTACTTTATAAAACTCCGCTTCACAACTTAAGTGAAAACCAACTTGACATATCGCAAATTGACCAATCCTAAAGATTTGCTCTAAATCTCATTCACATTTGTTACTTCCTTTGCTTGGGATTCTTGTTGCGTCATGAAAAATCTCACGTAAGAAGACATGAAGAAGGGAAGAAAAGCGAACGTTCGCTTCTGTCTTTCTTTTCGTCGGAAAAATTGAATTTCAAAACAAGAATCCAACTGAAGCCTTCGTGCAACTGATAAATTATTGTAAAGTTGATCAATATCATCCCACGTTAGAGCGGATTTCGTATGAGTTACCGCACGGTTACCGCACAGTTACCGGACCTGGCCTGCACAATTTTGGTGAACCAATGGGGCACTAGAATTTGGTTACAGTACGATTACGGTCACAGTACATTACCGTCCGTTTCCCACTCATACGAAATCCGCTCTATAGTCAGTTTACAGTGCAATAAGCTGATGTATCGATGTGTTTATGTTACAGGATCAGTATATATTCTGCTACACGGCTTGTCTGGAGGTACTGCGCTCTCTCAATGGTTAGCGTCCAGCCTTCACTCAAGATTGTGGTCGCACCTTATTTTGTGCAGGTTGTAACGTGACAGACGTAACATCAATGCATGCGTGACGCGTTATCTCTGTACAGTGCGTACTGCCATGGCGCATCGATGGATAGACCACTTTTATATAGCACTATGATGTATGTAGTTCTTCGATACGTCACGCCGTTTTTTGAAAAGCTTTTACAGAACAGAGAAGACAAGATTTTGCTGCGCCGTGACATGACATCTTCATCATCAGATTCTCTGATAGTTGTAACGCGCTTGTGCTCTTCTATAACAAAACTAGAACAATGAAATCACAATTTTAATTTATATTATATATGTATTGTAATAAATAATCAGATCTAAAAGAAAGCTGTTGAATCGTTAAGTGTATCTCACTTTTGTTATTGTATTCACAAATTCTTCACCATTGATAAACTACAACATAGGTCAGTTCTTACAGCACAGTCTCTTGCGCAAAGTCCTGTACAAAGCAAAGCAAGGCACAAAAAACGTTATTACAATTGCTCTACAAATTTAAAAGGTTTACGATTTAAGGATTAAATGCGCCAATATAGCGATTTCCAAATAGCATCACAAAGGACAGATACACTCTACTAAGTCAAAAGAATTGTATATTGGCAGCGCGGAGTTAGAGATACGGATTTTATCTTCTACCCTGGTCCCAGAGGTTTTCTTTTCTCTTCTTTTGGTCCCAGAGGTTTTCTTTTCTCTTCTTTTATAGATGTTTTTTATCGTTTTTTTGTCGTTTTTTAAATTAAATTAAAAACAAAACAAAGACAAAATTACGATAAAAAACATCTATAAAAGAAGAGAAGAGAAAAACTCTGGGCCAGGGTATTTATCTTCGAGCGTTGAGCCAAAAAAAAAAATCAAAAAGTTGATTATTTCCCCTCTCGCAAACGAAATAAAGTACGTTAAATTTATTTGTTTATTATTCGTGAATAAAGTGTTGGCACGGTTTTCTTGAGAAGTCTTCGAATCTGACACCGTTAATTTTTCAGTTTCCATTTAAAGTCCTAGTTGATTTTAGACGTTGCCCCCATCTTTAAGCACATAAAATTAGATTCCCCCACCCCCTCTGGATTTTCAACCCCCCTGATAAATATTGCGCATTCCCTAATAATCTGCTTATCAAATAACTATCATTGAAAGCAAATTATGTTTTAAATTAACTTTTATTTACCTAATATATAGAGAAAACTCTATAGAGTGCTCGCACTAAATGCGTGAAATAGAAATACTACAAAATAGGTGATAAATTAATATACAAATTCCTTTGTTTCCTATTATATGATCAACACTATTTAGTAGTAATTAGTACACTCTACCTGACTTGTTTAATTGGTTGATGACTTGCGTATGGAGAATTTCAAGCTTTATCAGGAATAAATATACCAAAAAAAAGAGAACAAAAAATTCTGATCAATTTTAGGTTTCATGTGATGTCACAAAAATAATATAACGCCTTGAAAAAACTTTAAAAAGTATTTTAAGAAACAAATAAAACACATTGTTAGCACTTGACCAATGCAAACCAAGATGTAGTTAGGAGAATACGCGATCAGATCAATGCAAACAAAGGCTGCTCTAGTCAAAGTAAACCCCTTCCGTCCCACCCAATATGTTACGAGAGTTTTAATATGGAGGGGGAATAGTGGGGCATTAGGTCGGGATTGGTCAAAGGCCTGGAAACTCTTAAAATGCACCTTGGACTTCCTGTGGCCCTATGAATGTCAAGGACACCCCACAGATTGATTGCTCCAACAGGTCATATATATCTTAAAAAATTGCAATAAAAACTATTTGCTATGATATTGACTCAAATTTATTCAATTACTTGATTAAAGATAATTTTGTTTTGTATTGGTATAGAAAACAAAAGATTTCACTCAAAATGGCATTTTCTTTCACTTATAAAGTTCACGGTTAAGGTTTAGTCTAATAATTTTCTCTCTGTTTTGGTTTTTGGTCCCAAGGGTCGGAGATTTGATGTCCAATTTCCCCCTCACTATGTGGGGCATTTACCAACATTTGCCAAGTCCATTTTAAATGCCCCACATATCCCACCCTTTCCCGGGTTGGGGGAGGGGGTGGTGGGGGTTTACTTTGACTAGTGCATTATATGTGACAAAAAAATTAGGCAAAAAACGGTTTGTTCCAAAGAAGGAAGAAACTGATTGGTCCACACAAGGGTTTTTTATCGTGCTATATGATTGGTTAAGAGTGAACTCCCAGAGTCCATTTCGGTTTTCGTTCGACGATATGCACCCAGTATCATGCGCCAAGAGTTTCTTGTGTCTCTTTGTGGAATGTTTGCTAAAGTGGTCATTGTTGTGAAAGATTAAGGCTATAGAACCTGAATTGTTTCTTATGTGATTATTCAGTAGAAGGTAAGAGATTGGAAAGTTATGTTTTAGATATATTTCGGTTCATCTCCGCTGGGTGCCTGGAGTGGCTTCGAGTATGCGACATGTTTGAGGTGCTCTTAGACGATCAAACCAGCAAGATTTTAAACTTACAAGAAGCTTGACAAAACACTTAACGGGCCACTCAATGGATCGTTTGTTTGTTCAAATATATCAATTTACTTGTTTCTTTGAAGAACTGATGCAAAATAGATATCCTCAGGAGAAATAAGCTTATGTTAAGCTTACTAGTTGACTCCACGTGTGGCTCTCACGTACGCCGCGCCAGTTCGAACACAAATACGTAATACAAGTAGAGAGTTGTTGCGCATAGATAAGACCTCTTTAGGGAAATATACCATTTGGAGCGAGTATAGAATACCCGTACACAGTAACAGTAACAGTTTTTATTTATGAATCATCCTTATTTACATTTGAAGTTTGCCCTCGCAGTTAGTCCAAGACTATTCGAGGCGAGGGCGATAATGAAGGAGAAAAACTAGTATAAAATGTCAAAAATTCACAGTTTGAGTACGTATATTAGGA